ATAAGTAGTATATAGTAAAAGTATATAGTATGCAGTAAAAGTAAGTATATAGTATATAGTAAAAGTAAGTATATAGTAAATGTAAATAGTACAATAAAGTGTTTTGTTTGCTTCCTAATAATTAAACAATCTGCAAAATGTACAGCATACTACATGCAGGATATCAAAGAAAAAAAAGTTTACTTCCCGAATATTTGTAGACGATAAAACTTGATTGTTAGTTACATTTGTAAACCTCCATACTACATCACCTTATTGCTTATATTTTATTCACTGCATTAAAATATCTCAAACATAACGATAAGACTGAACAAACTTCTCCGTACTACAAATTACTTTCACTTTAAAATAAATTCTAAATCCTTTGTCGAACTTCGCTCATTTCTATCAACAAGTCAAATAACTCTTAACAGCAAATTTGAATCTCTACATAATTTTGAACGATTTCTGAAGAACACTACAACTATCAAATAAACTAGCAGTCACATCTGTAATGTTAAGTGAATTGATTGACTTCACGTAGAAACAGCTTCAATTTTCTAATGCATTTATTATAGACAAAAATTATTATTCAACTTTTTGATTATAACTGAGCCGAGGTAAAGCGCTTCATTTTGATCAAATTTTTGATGGCAGTACACATGTAACTTTGCTTGATCATTTTTATTTGTATCATTTATTGCACGTCAAAATAATACTTACAATTACTGAATCATAGGTAGAAATACTGCAAAAAATTTGCAATTTTTTTGCCAATTGATCTTTCGATTGAACAACAACGGTTACCGAACAGAATAATAGAATAATTAAATCATCTAAGATCAAATTCTTAGCTATTATATTGTTTATGAAGCACTAATTGCTTTTCTGTAAACTTAAAATCTCACTTCTAAATTTCGAAATTCAATTATACATTGAAAGAATAGTTGGATAAAAAAATTGCGGAATATACAGACAATAAGGAATAATAGCAAATTAGCAAAACTTGAATTAGACGAAATTGCGAACAACAATTTTATCTACCTGAGAATACTGTACAAAAAGAGAACAAAAAAAACAATGATGATCAAGAGAAAGGCATCATTCCTATAATCTATCTAAAATGATTAAATTTTGAATCCCAACAATTAAGGAGGAATTAAAATTGGAAAATAAGAGTTGAAAAAAAGCTTCAGATTTCTTTTTTTTTTTTTCAAATATAATGAACTGTATTTGTAAAGCCCGTATATTTTGCGTAAATTCTATTATAATATTTGTTACCGTGAATTTCAAGCTCTAAAATGAATAATACCTCAGCATCATGAAACTTTCTAATAATTTTCCTCATGTTATTATTATAATTTTTACCAGAAAGGTGCACATTTAATACATTTAACGTTACTTCACTACAATATTTTGGACCAAGATTTGAATAACAAATGCCATAGTTTGAAATGTTATGTATGATGCTCAAAACGTAAAAATGCTCGTTCTTAAGTAGTTTACAGAAAAGTGAGATATAGATATATGTATAAATCTAAATGAACCTTTCAAGTTCTCAAGCAGAATTTAGAGCTATGTTAATTCTTATCAGTACTGCTTTCATTATTCACATTACTATCACTACTATCATCATTTCTAAAACTTTTACACCGAGGCACAACTTTTATAGCATTTGTGATTAGCAGCGAGGACGTCGCGATATTTATAAGGCTGACCATCCTCTAACCGATGCACACAATTACTTTTTGCAATCATCGGCTGACACTGTTCACGCTCAAGATAACGCTTTTCCTCAAAGAATATCATGCAACTGAAAGTTAGCTTTAATAATAATAATAATTTTTTCAAAAATTTGTTATAAATGAGCCTATATTGAATGACAGTACCACAGCAAGCATAAGATTTACCTACTCAGATCATCTTAGAATTTATTAATTTACATTTTGTTTGTAAGTTATAATTAGTTAATTTGTACTGCAAATTGAATCAGTTTAGGACATAAACGATTACAGCTTTTCTTACTTTGAAAAGTGCGAATTTATTCACCTGCAGATTATATTTGAATATTAACAAAATTATGAACAAACTTTACACAGACTTCTTGTTTAGACTTTAGACTAGATGATGAGGTATTTGATGTGATTATGAACTTATTAAAAATAAACATCTGAAAGGGTATTATGGTACTAATTTCATGATCAAACTATTGAAGTTCAAATTTTGAAACAATTTCAAAGTTAACCTGTAAACGACAATTACTTGCCATAAATGCATTATTGATAAAATGAGGAATAAAACCACAGATGTAATAACGAACACAACGATAAATGTATCACTAAGACGTATTTTTGCGTAATGTCCTGAAATTTCCTGTGATATGTTTAGCGCAGAAAAACTTTGCTTACTTACAGACAAATTTAAAAATTCCCTTTTCTATACACGATAAATAATTGTAACATTATCAACAAATTCTTCAACTGATAAAATATATAACGAGCAAATAAAATTTAAACAGACTACTTTTATCTTACTCTTTTATTTTTTGCTTTCTGCCTGTCAATTTGAAAAAACTTCAAAATAACTGTCTTTGATATATTACAATTACACACCTACTATCTTTGATATTATTACATAAAAGCACAAGAAAACAAAACATAATATAATGTGCCTGCAAATTTTTACAAATCTTTAAAACTTTACCAACAATCTGCCTAAAGGTACCATAGCTAGCAGCAGTAAATGCGATTATTATCAGTACGACCACAATGCAGACTATTATATGAACACTCTGAAATAATTAAGAAATTAAGACAAATAATATTTTACATAAAAATATTTTAATAATTAACATTGATTTGCTTAATTTTCCAGAAAAACTCATGTCCCATAATACACTATAGACTGTAAAATAAACATACCGATATTATCAAAAAAGGATACAAATATTTGTGTTTTTCCGAACATAATGCATAGATACTAAGCACAGTAATCACGAACGGTACTACCGACCACAGTATCGCTGAATTCACGGCAACAAAAGTAATAACCGATAAGGCCACATAAATTGAAAGAAATATCATGGTACCAGTCTGAAATAATGATTACGTCAAAAATGTCAAAATAACATTTACAAAAAAGATGCCCTGATATTTAGTGATTTTTTGAGAAGTTGGAGTTTCAAGATGAAAGTAGCCCTTTCTGACTTGCTGCAGTGAAACTATCACGTAAGCACAGAAAATTATTAATCGTATCAAAATATCATGAAAAATATGTATTAACTAAGATATAGAAATTGGAACATTATAAGTATGAAACATATTTCAAATAAAATTTCATTTAAATTTCGAAACAATGTATATTCGCGTTGTTGCATACAGAAATTTCAGAAGTTTTTACCATTAAAGAAGATAGCCAAGAACTAATAGATGTTTACATTCTAAATAAATTCTACCTATCAAAAAAAAGAGAATAATTTTTAGCTAATTCAAAAACATAGTGACAACTGAATCACATAAATTAAAGTAATTAGCATAATGATACAGAAAAAAATTTCAGAATAAATACCACAGCATGCATGAGACCGCAACAACAGCGGTGCTGCAGTGACTGAGGAGTTGAGTTGATAAAGTTATTATTTGATTTCAAATAGTGATTATTTTGATGAACTGAATCTTCCACCCGTTGATATCGAAATGAGCTTCTCAGTTGTCGATCAGCTACAAGATGTAGTACCTTGATTGAAAATTTTACAAATTTTAAAAAAATAACAAGTTAAAATACTGATTTTTGAAATCAACTAGAACTGTTTCATTTAATTTTTAAAGATCGTTTTTCCTTTCCATAAAATATTTAGATATCACAGCATATATAAGATTATTTTAGAGTGTTACACGCACAAATTATTTTTAAAAAGTTTCTGAACTATAATTAGTATGGTTGAAAATGCTTGTGTTACAGTAATCAGTTGTTACTAAAAAATAAAGCAAGGAATTATTTTAATCACGGAGATTTTGAATTTTTATCGAATTTCAAGCTTTTCATACTAGTATTGTTTTCACATGCATTTTGATAAAGTGAGTAGTATGAAGATAAAAGTACTTACCAAGAAAATTAACCTTCGAAAGCTTGTCAGGTCTAGTTGTTTGCAAAGGTGAAACATTATCAGATTGAGGGGATGAGCATTCAGCTAAGGCCCGAGCACGCTCCAAATAATTTACCATTTTTTACCATAAAAATTAGGCAGGAATTGCTTGTAGGTCACATTCTCCTAGCTACTTGTCATCTTCCATAAAACAATAATCAAATTATCTCAAACTGAAGAAAGAAAGATACAAGTCAAATTTTGCAATAGACAAATTGTACATACATAATCATCAATTGTTTGAATAAATCGTTGAGTAATTCTCGGTCTACTAACTTCCTAGTTGACAGAGTTTAGTAGTGTCTAAGCTACAAAGTGCATCCTTTCTTCTAACTTATAAAGTATAAATTTTAAAGTTTTTAAAAGACTGCATTAAGAGAAACAAATATGCAAAATCAAAGCAGAATAAATAAAATCAGTAAGCTAATTTTATTCTATTCATATAACATTTATTTCTTAAAATTTTATTATTTAGGCAGAAAAAGTTGAAAATGTAAAAAAAGCAAAAAGTCTAGCAGCGTCAAAATGGAAGAATAACTTTGATGGATTGATTTCATTTTAACATAATATCTGCAAAACTTCTTGCCTACAAAAAACAAACTTTGCAATGAAAATGAAAACGAATACGAAAACGAACGAGAATGATGAAAAGAAAAGCTATTAAATAAATTGTATATGAATATAAAAAGCAAGCAAAAATATATTGACCAATTTTACCACCATTTTAATCATTTAGCTTTCAGTAATAATCTTTACTATCAATATCGATATCAAGAATTATAATAATAATAACAATAATAACAATAGCAATAATAATAACAATAATAATATTAATAATCATGCATAAATAATAAAAATGATAAAAAATGCATATAATTAATGCAAATGAATTTTCAAAGTAGTATAGTGAACGATAGAAAGTGTGTTTAGCTTCTGAAATGAATAAATGCAATGCATAACAAGACTGATAACATATATAGTCCGCCAGAGTAACGCAACCAATTCTTCTCTGAACAGCTAAAACATCTCCTAATATTTTAACGATTGACAAGTAAGCGTGAAAACAAAAGTTTTTTTCTTTTTTTGCACACACTAATGTACACACCCATATACATATACATATTATACATATACACATACACATACACATACACATACACATGCACATGCACATGCACATGCACATGTACATGCACATACACATGTACATGTACATGTACACACACACAAATATGCATGTATATTATATATGAACATGCACACGTATGCTATATGCATTTTGCACAAATGTACAGACAGACTTGTCTTGACTAGATAAATGGACATGTGAGCATATTGAAACTAGAAAAAAGCTGTATTGCTAGCAAAAATAATGACATGCCTGATTCGTTAATGATAGCAAGTGTTGTTGTCTACACTAACAACACTAACAAACAATATCTACAAGTATTGGTACTTCCGGTACTGTTTACACTAAATAAATTGCCATTATTCTTAGCATATAACCACAATAAATCTAACTGCAGCGAATTGTTAAACACATTAACAACAAAATCGAAAATAGCCAATAGCCAATTGTCCAACTTAGTACATCTGAATATATGTAAGCGCTACACAGAACAACAGTTCGCTAGATGAAACTTACTGCTACTATAATATGAAGTAAAATAAATTTCCGCACTTTTATCTTTTATTATCAAACAGTACTGACATTTACTTATTTATTTATTTATTTATTCAAATTTGTTATGCAATTGTATTGCTTGCTGAAAAATTAAAATAATTGAAACATACCAATTTTTGATTTTTGATTGTCTGAGTTTATTTCAAGGCAGTAATATTGAAAGCAGTACGATTGCCATGTTCATATTTGTTCGCACTAAACTTCCAATGCACAAAGCAACCATTGGAAAGAAAATAGACGATTTATACATACTTCTCATGTCTGCACAACACTGTCAACTAGCATTTGAGCACATCTAATCTAATTACCCTTCAAAAAATTAAGTAAAAATTTTTATTATAACAAAATACTGATAACAGAGAAAATACTGATAGCGATTAAATCTTGAATTAAACAAATGCATGAATTAAAACAATAGCTAATTTATGATGAAGTACGAAAGCACTAAGTAAAAATTTAATCATTAATTAAATTGAAAAATGAAGTTATATAATCATGTTTACATTTTATACATTTTTAAACAAAATACAATTCTAAGATAAAAAATTTTGGACAAGAAAATCTTGTCTATGCTTTTATTTATAAATATTTGTACATAATTCCTAAAATAGTTTTACACTTCCAAAAAACTGTTATTTTCTTTTTAATTCAAATATTTTACTTTATTTTTTAATTATAAGAGAAAATTTACTCTTTAAGTTAATGAAACATTTCAATTAATAATAAATAGCAGCAGAAATAAATATTAACATCAACGAAACTTTTTATTACTTAAAAAAATAAAGAAAATGCTTTTTTAAATGCTACATAGTGAACAAAAAACAAATGAATTCAATACAATTTGAATAATTTTTTAATACTGCAATTAATTAATTAATTGAAATATTTGTTTTATAAAAATTAGTAACTCAAATAAAACAAATATCATTTATTAAAATAGCCTCAAAAATGTAAAAATATGACGTTAATTACACAAAAAAGTAATGATTTATTTTCAAAAATATTCTGAAAAAATAATAATTTATTTTCAAAAATGTTCTCAAAAACTAATGAAAATAAAGTGAAAAGCTAAAAGTAAAATTACAATACACAAACAATAATAATAATAAATGAAGAGTTAAATAATCTTTGTAAGTATGTGAAGTGAAATATTTGATAAGAAATAAATAAGTCAATAAAAAAAGATATATTTTCAAACTTAAAAAACGTATTCGCTTAGAATTGTGAAAAAAAAAAGTAAATGCAAATATTGAAAATTTATGTATTTAATGACAATAAAAAGTTAAACAATTCTCAAGCAAAAAAATAATATGCGAAAGTAGCTGAATGAAAGGATTAGATTTTCAAAATATGCTACACTACTGTGGTTGTAAGCGTTGGTGGGTAATGCAATACAATAATTGCTATTTTATCAAATATTAAAGTTGTTAAAATTGGTATTAAATTTAATAGTTAATCAAGGGCAATAAATTACTAAAACAAACTTTTTTCAAATAAAATAAAAGGATTTGAGCTAGATTTTACCAAAAAAAAAAAAAAAAAAAAAA